CTGCCACCAGACCCAGGTTCAATTCCCCGGCATCCCATATGGTCCCCTGAGTACTGCTTTGAGTGATCCCCAAGTGCAGAGCCAGGAGTCAACCCTGAGCACCGCTGGGTGTGCCCTTACTTAAGTTGGAGGGTGGAAGGCACGGGCTTATGCCAAGACAGTCTGTGTCCAAGTGCGTTGATGAACAGAGAAGGCTCTGGAGGTTATTCTCAGACCAGTTACCGAGGAGGAACCCTTTGGTGAATGGGTCCGTGGGGCGATGTGTATCGGAGCAGGGAGATAGGGATGGAGGGCAGGGGTGTCCTCTGCTCCCTCTGGAATTGGCAATTGGGCACCGACCAGCTGGTGCCCTGGAAAGGTTCCTGCTGCTTCTCTCCCGTGATCAATGCCACTGTGAATGTGAAGTACTGGGTTGGATAACAGAGCATGAATTTTTCAATTCTGCAATTAAAAGACTTGATTCAGAATACCATTAGTTTTGGCGTTTAGGTGGAAAAGGGAAGCAAGGTTCCTCAATGACTTATTTTTTTCTCCCTTCTGCCAAGGAGTCTTAACTTGGTGGAATTGACATTAAACTGTGCTTAGCAATATTTTTTGATTTTTTTGGGGTGTGGGGGGGAAGGTTAAGCCTCCCCTCCCCCAGCAGTACTTAGAGCTCATTCCTGGCTCTGTGCTTGGGGGTCATCTCTGCTGGTACCTGGGGATGCATAAGCATTGATTGGGGGTTCGACCCAGCCAGCGCCCACCCCGAGGACTCTCTCTCTCTCTCTCTGGCTCAGAGAATCTCATCTTTCTTCTGGGTTCTGGGCTACCCCAGGGCAGCGGTGCTGGAGGGGAGGGGGGTCAGGGGTGAGGGTGGGCTGTCTCGTTTGGGAGATGGGACGTTGCTGCTTTTCTCCTCCTGTCCCGGTGGTGTGCATATCCGGCAGCCCCGTGGGGAGCGTTCTGGGGGGCTTGATGGTGGACCCTGGAAACCCCGCTGGCACCCTCCTGAGAGGACCCCACCCCCTCCCAGTTGCTGTTGGTGTGAAGAGGCTCCCCCAGGGGCTGTGTTGGCTACTGTCACCTGGGAGGCAGGGGGGAGTGTCTGTCTGTCCCTGGTGGGACAGGCTGCCTGCGGGACAGGCTGCCTGCAGGACAGGCCGGACCCTCCCTCCCACCACTCACAGCTCATTCTCGGGCCAGGTGTGAGCGCTCCCGGGGGCCTGAGGGTTTGAGGCTATCCCTGGTGGTACTGGGTGTGCCAAGGATGCAGCTGGGTGGGCCACATGCCAAGAAAGTGCCTGATCCCGTATCCTCCCCTCAGACCTATGGGAGGTGAGGCACCCCAGGGTGGGGAGGTGGGGGGCACAGGGAGCACTGGGGGGCAGAGAGCAGGTGCTGGGACCTCAGACACTCATGGCAACAGAGTCCTGGAGTGGGGGTTCCAGGATGCGGGTTGGGGGGTCCTGGCAGGGATGCCCTGGAGCCAGGAATTGGGGGTCTCTGTCTGTCTGTCTGTCTCTCCTTCTGTCTGTATCTCTTTGTTAGTCTCTCTCACTCTCTCCCTACCATTCTCTCTATCTTTCTCTTCCTCTCCTTTTCTCTGTCCCTCTCTCTCCCTCTCCCTCGCTCCCTCTTCCTCTCTCTCCTTTTCTCTGTCCCTCCTTCTCGATCTCCCTCTCTCTTTCCCTCTCCCTTTCTCGCTCCCTCTCCTTCTCTCCCTTCCTCCTTCCCTTCCCCCTCCCCCCTTCCTCCCTCCTCTTTCTCTCCCTCTCTCCCTCCCACCCTTCTTCTCTTCCTCCCTCCTCCCCTTCCCTCTCCGTCTCCCTCCTCAGATCAGCCATTCCCTTCTTGGACCCCATCCCGGCTGGGTCTGGTCTCTGCTCGTCCTTGTCCTTGCTTCCAGCCTGACTGAGGGACTCTCTGGGCCCCACAGAGGGCGCGGGGACTCACCTGCCTGCTTTCAAGCGGGCGCGGGCCAGCCTTGAGTGTGGGCGCCCATGTCCAGTCCTCAGGGCAGGCCAAGAGGCCAGAGAAGGATCAGAGGGGGACACCCCGTCCCCCACCAGCCCCGTCCTGGCCCAGACACAGCGGGGGCCTCTGAGGGAGAGCTCAGCTCCTGCTGCTTGGAGCAGGGCGGCTGTGGATGCAGCTCCAGAACCTTCTTGGGCTGAGAATGCAGCTGGAGGGCTGAGTGCGGGGCCTCCAGCAGGGGCCAGATGTGTTTGCACCCGGCACCAGCCAGACTCCAGCCCTGCCAGGAGTAGCTCCTGCGCCCTGTGGGGTGTGGCCAGCTCCTTAGGGTGCCCCTCTGCTCCCCAGGGACCCTTCTCAGACCTGCAGCAAGCCCTTGGTGTGGGGGTGAGATGGGGTAGGGCTGAGGGTGCATCCAGCTGTGGGCTCCATCTCGGAGCTGACCCTGTTGGATTAGACTCACCTGAGCACTGTTTGGGAGTCTGTCCCTTCCCACCCCCTCCCCCCAAAAAAAAACCACATAAATGACCTCATGCTGCAGAAGGGGAAGCGTTTCCAGCCGTCCAGCGAGCTCCTTACAGACAGACTTTTCCTGACCTCTTGTTTGCTCAGCCATGTCTCTCAGGCCTGCCAGTGGACATGCGCTATGCCCTGTGTACCGTGGGTAACACCTGTTTGGGGTTCCTGGGTGTCGCGTGTTTGAACCTTGGCTGTGGTGGGAATGGTAGCACTGTGGGCAGTGCTGACCCAGGTTTGATCCCTGCTGTCCCTTATGGCTCCCCTGAGCACAGCCAGGAGTGATCCCTGGGCACCCCCGCGTGTGGCCCCAAGACCTCACTTAACCCCATTGTCGCCGGCGCCCAGCCACCCCGCATCCAGAGGGATCCACATGCCCTCTTGGGACACGTTCTGCTTTTCTGCCAGGCTCCGGCCTCTGGGAGACAGGAAGGATCCGCCAGCCTGCTTAGCTAGAATTCGAGAACTACAGTTTTCTAATTATCCCGGCTCTTCTGCATGGCCCAAGGTTAATGCAGTTCCGGATTCTGACAGTAATAGGAAGGACGGGGTGGGGGAGAGCCCGTGAATTGTCTCCTAATGATCTGCATCCGACGCACTCCTGACAGCCCGGCTCTTCGTGAGGACTTGGTTGGAGGTGGGGTCTCTTTCCGAATCTCCGAAGGGTTTGGTTCCCTCCCAGTGGCCGTTTATCATTCGCAGGTTTCTCTCTGGGTGCCGGTTAGCCAGGCGCGAGTGAGTCTAGGTATACGTGGGAAAAATTGATCTTCAACATTTTTTTTTTCCTGTTTAATGATTACCTCCTGGATTTTGTATATCTTTGGAAAACTTGCTCCTTCTTACAGTGAATATGAAAACTGTCCCCCTCAGGCCCACTCTGTCATCTCCTTCCTTGGCTGGGGTTGGCATTCAGGTACATGACACTTTTTTTTTGGTTTGTTTTTTTGCTTTTTGGGTCATAGCCGGCGATGGTCAGGGGTTCCTCCTGGCTCTGCACTCAGGAATTAGTGGTGTGCTGGCAGTGCTCCAGGGATGATGTGGAATGCCGGGAATTGAACCCGGGTCAGCCCCATGTAGGACAAATGCTCTACCTGCTGGACTAGATATTTGATGCTTTTATGCGCCCATGCCCCACTGGTCTGGTAGCGCCAAACCAATCTTGAATTCTTGGTTATCCTTGCCCTGGGGAGTGTTTCTTGTGAGGACAGTCAGAGAGGCCTCAGGCCACCCAGAGCAGCGGGGAGATGGTGGGAGATTGGGGGTGGAGCTATGCTTCTGGAGTGCAGAATCCCAGCAGAAACTGGGGGGTCTTGCTTGTGTGACTGCAGGATTAAAAGGTCGGGGGGGGGGTGACCGGAGCATTTGTAGAGGAATAAGGGGCTCACGTTGAACTTGTCCGGCCCTGGTTTCATCCCTGGCCCCCCATGGGGGCCCCCGAGCATTGCCAGGAGGAAGCCCTGAGCACTGCCCAGTGTGTCCCCCAAATAGAGGCAGGACTGAATTCTGGGGGTTACCCAGCAAGGCGGCAGGGAAGGGGCATGTGGGAGGCTGAGGGTTGGGGGGGGAGCAGGGGAGTCCCGGGGCTCAGGTGCCATGCGACTGGCTGCAGCCCCGAACCGGGCAGGGAGGCAGAGACACTGGGTCCCCCGCACAGCGCAGGGGTGCGTCGGCGCCTGAGCAGATTGCCGCGTGTCTTCCCAGCGCCGAGTCATATGTTAGTTGCTGCAATGATCCCAGTGGGAGTATTTACACCCCAGAAATCAGCAGATGCTACGAATTAGGCCTTTAAAAAAAAAACAGTTGGTGGTAAACATTTACTGACGCAGCCAACAGTTTCCCCGTGCCGAGCCGCCGCTACTCTGCCAGGGCACCCCGAGGACCTGGCTGGCCCCCATCCTCTGGGGCCCACTTCCCCCCACCCCCACCTGAACCCCCTCCTGTGTTCCCTGGGGGCGACCTTCCGCAGCCTTAAGCACAGAGTCTTCTACTTCCACATCCCCCCCAAAACAGGGAGTGTGGCGGTGAGGGGGGAAGGCCAGTGTCCACCGCCTGCAGGACCTCAGAAAGTTCCCAGCCAAGGCTCACCCACCAATGACTCTGGCACGGCCCTGGTGTGGGTCACTGGGCGCTCAAGCAGGGGTGAGCCGGAGAGGGTGGGCAGGTGGGGGAGCATGGGGCATGTACTAACATGTTATAGGTTGAACCTTGTGTGCTAATATTTTGGGATTTTTTTATTTTTTGGATTGAGACCAGTTGCCGCCTGCTTTACGCCTCATCCAACGTGGTGTGCCACGTCTGGGGCATCAGTGGTGTAGAGTGTGGAAGGTTGAACAGTTCCCCAAGACAGAAAGAAGGAACCCCTGAGCACTGCCAGGAGTGGCCGACAAATCCCCCTTGCTCCCCCCAAAAAGTTCAGCCTTGATCTGATTAACAAACTGTCTTGATTGTGACTTCACCGTGTGCAGCGGGACGGGGGCGGGGTGGTGATCTCGGGTGTGCTGCGATGTTCTCACCCCCTCTCCCCGCAGTATGCCACGCCGAGCTGAACGCCATCATGAACAAGAACTCAGCCGACGTCAAGGGCTGCACCATATACGTGGCCTTGTTCCCGTGTAACGAGTGTGCGAAGCTTATCATCCAGGCAGGTAGGAACCGGGGGTTGCGGTGGGGGTGTCCCCTGTGGGGGGTGTCCCCTGCCCACCTGTCCTCCTCACTGCCCCCCTCCTGCCCTCTGATGTGCTGGCTCTGAGGTCGCTACTGTTCGGATCTCCATTATTTCTGCCCTGAGCTTGGTTCCGTTGGCCTGAGTTGCCGCCTTTAGGGTGCCAGGTCAGTCTGAGACTTCATTGCATCCTCGGTGATTCTTAGCTGGTTTTAATATTTTTATTATTTTTAAATTCTTTATTTTAAAATTTTATTATTATTATTATTTTTGCTTTTTGGGCCACACCCAGCAATGCACAGGGGTTACTCCTGGCTCTACACTCAGGAATTACTCCTGGCAGTGCTCGGGAGACCTTATGGGATGCTGGGAATCGAGCTTGGGTTGGCCATGTGCAAGGCAAACACTCTCCCCTCTGTACTATTACCCCAATCCCCTATTTTTTTAGAGTTGATTTATTTTATTTTATTTTCATTGAGTCACTGTGAGATACACAGTTACAAAGCTTTCATGACGGGGTTTTAGTCATATTCCAACACCCATCCCTCCACCAGTGAATATTTCCCACCACCAGTGTTCCCAGTTTCCTTCCCCAGCTTGTCTCTGTGGTAGACACTTTCCTTGTCTCTCTGTTTCTGTCTCTCTCTGTCTCTGTCCTTTTAGGGTTCTTAGGTTTTTAATTTAGCTCACAACTTCTTAAACTGCAAGCTGCTCAAAAATAAACCCCACAAAATCAAACCAAACCCACCCCAAAACAAACCCAACAACAACCCCACAGGCAGACTGCATCTCATCACTGCAGTGACGAGGTGGGAAGTGACACGAAAGGGTCTTAGAACCGAGATTGACTGGTAACCACACGTCACACACACGCACGATCGTCATTTCTCTCTAAGATGTGGTCCAGAGTGGGGGGGGAGGGGGGCTGAAATGTCTTGGCCGGCAATGTGCAAAGCCAGGAGTAAGCCCTAAGCTTCGCCAGGTGTGGGCCAAAAACAGGAAAGGGGAAAATAAAATAGCTCCCTTGATTGGCAGCACACAGGTGAGCCCCTTTAACACGCAGCCCCCACTGGGCGATGCCACCACTTCTATTCTAAAATTGGTCCAACCCTTGGTTGAGGCAGTTTCTCGAGAGAGGAGGAACTCCTGAGCATCGCCAGTTGGCCGAATGTTAGACGTTGAAGTAGCAGCCCTGGGCGCCCTACTTGCCTTCTGGCTGCCGTAAATCTGCACCAGGAGATTTGAAGTCCTTCACTCTGGCCAGGTCGTCCCCACGGCCACTCAGCCGCCCGCTGTCTTCATAAAACTTACAGCTTGATGTGTAAAGATCGCGTGTTTAAGGGCCAGAGCGATAGCACAGCGGGTAGGGCATTTGCCTTGCACACAGCCGACCCAGGTTCTATTCCCAGCATCCCATATGGTCCCCTGAGCACCACCAGGAGTAATTCCTGAGTGCAGAGCCAGGAGTAACCCCTGTGTATCGCTGGGTGTGACCCAAAGAGAAACAAAGACTGTTTAGCCAGATGTGTGACTGAAGGGGACTGGGGTGGGGGCGGGGGCTGTTTATCACCAGAGCCTGCACGGGGCCTGCAGCAGATAAACAGGGTCCTGAGTCACTGCTAGAGTATGGGGTCCCTTTAGAGCCATTGTCCATGGCCAGAGCCGCGAGCACCTGCAGGTTGTGGCTTAAAAGCCAAAGGAGTGAAATCAATGGAGGGGGAGGGTTTCAGGCCCCGCCCTACGCTCCCCCGTCTGCCCCTCTGTAGCTAACCCCTGCTTCCAGTGAGCACCCAGTGACCCACACCAGGGCCGTGCCAGGCTCCTTGGTGGGTGAACCTTGGCTGGGAACTTGCTGGGGTTCGGCAGGTGGTGGACACTGGCCCTTTGTGCTACCCACCACACTTCCTGTTTTGGGGGGGATGCGGAAGTAGAAGCCTCTGTGCTTAAGGCCGTGGGCATAAGCCCAGGGAACACAGGAGGGGGTCCAGGTAGCAGGGACAGTGGGCCCCAGAGGGTGGGGGCCAGCCTGGGTCTTAGGGTGCCCTGGCAGAAGAGCAACAGCTTAGCGCTGGGATCCTGTTGGCTGCGCTAGTAAATGTTTACAACCTGCTGTTTTATTTTTATTTATTTTTTTTAAAGTCCTGATTTGTAGCATCTGTTGATTGCTGGAGTGTAAATACGCTCATGGGGTAATTTGTTAATTAGATCAAGACTGGACTTTTTTTTTTTTTTCGGGGGGGGGTGGGTGGAAGAGGTGCCTTGGGATGCTCAGGGCTTACTCCTGTCTCTGCACTCAGAAAACCCTCCTGACGTGCTGGGGGACCATGTGGGATGCCAGGGATCAGACATGGGTCAGCTGCGTGCAAGGTCAGCGCCTTCCCTACTGGACTGTCACTTGGGCACCAGGGATGGACTTCACTTTGCTCAGGATTACAGACCTTCATCCAGACCAGAGGGCAGATCTCAGGGGGCCGCAGAGCTGTGGGCGTTTCAGGGGAGGTGATGCTTCATTGAGGCTGGGAGGTTCCGGGGCTGGCCCAGCTTTTGCGGGCGTACAGTGTGTGTGTGTGTGTGTGTGGGGGGGGGTTAATGGGACCTCACATTGACCTTTTCAGGGATAAAGGAAGTCATTTTCATGTCTGATAAGTACCATGACAGCGAGGAGACGACAGCGGCGAGGTTCATGTTCAATATGGCGGGGGTGACCTTCAGGTAAGTGAGGGCCGATGTGATGAAGGGCTGGGGATAAAGGCACCTTTGACCTTGTCTGATGAAGGTCAAATCTGCTTTTAGTTCCTGATCCTTGACTTCCGCATTTGGAATTTGTCTGTTCTGATGTGATGGGCTAAGTAAGGGTCTAAAGCCCATTTCTTTTGATCTGTTTTTGTTTTGTTTTGGGGGGCTACTCATGGTGGGACTCTGGGGATGAGCCCTGGCTTCCTGTGTAGAAAGCTTGAGCGGGCATCTCTCCGGCCCCTAGGGAATGATTTCCTTTTGAGGGTTGGGGGGTGCACCTGGCAGTGCTCAGGGCTTACTCCTGGGTCTTGCATTCTGAGATCACTCCGGCTGGGGCTTGGGAGTCCCACAGATGCTGAGGATTCAGCCAGGGTTGGCCATGTGCAAGGCAGGTGCCCCACCCACTGTACCCTCTTTTACCCTCTGCAGAGGGAGACTTTTTTTGTTTGTTTTGGGGCTACGCCTGGCTATGCTCAGAAATTACTCCTGGCAGTGCTCGGGAGACCCTATGGGATGCCAGAGATCGAATTCAGGTCAGCTACATGCAAGGCAAACGCCCTTCCTGCTGTCCTATTGCTCTGGCCCTCCCTGGGGAGACTTAATTTAAGAGCTGGGAGAGAAATTTCTGAAGACAGCCAGTGTAATGCTGGCGCAAAAATATCGTATTGAATCATCAGTAGCCTTCCAGAGCCTGAATGAGGAATTTAAATAGCCTCTGGTTGTGCACTGTTCATATCCAACCTTTGTGCCTTTTTGCTAGTGCAGAGTCGGATGTAGGAAATTTAGAATGAGAGGGGCCCCTTGGAGGGAGGGTGCGGGATTTCTTGGTAAGGCAGCATCTGAGATTGAGAGACATTTAGATTTGTGGGAGATCTCTGCTTGGCAAGGGTCGGAGGGCCTGCTTCCTTGCTGACTGGTGCGGGGATTTTTTTTTTTTTTGAGGTGATGAAAACTCCCCAGGCAGTTTCCAGCCGGTGCTTGGGGACTTAGCGGCTTCTTACTAGCCGGCACTCCAGAACCCTGGGTAGTCGTCTTTGAAGATACTGCTTTTATGTAGTGAATCTCGAGCTATTGTGCCTTAGGAGACTCTGAATTCACGTTATTCATATAGTAACGGGTTTTTACTTTTTACGTGTGTGTGTGTGTGTGTGTGTGTGTGTGTGTGTGTGTGAGCACAGGCATGACCCTGTGCTCAGGAGTAATCCCTGACAGTGCTCTGGGGAAGAATTCTCAGGGGATTGAACTGGGGTCAGCTGCATGCCTGCCAGGCTCCCCCCCCCCTTTTTTTTTTTTTAAAGAATCCAAAGAGTTTTATGTATTTGTTTTTTTGGTAGGAAATTCACACCCAAGTGTAGCAAGATCGTCATCGACTTTGAGTCCATCAACAGCCGACAGAATCCGAATGAGCAGTGAGCCTCAGCTCTATGGAGCTGCCCAGGACCTGGATGTGCCTCCCCAGCAAGTCACTGGCCCTTCCTTTCACCTCCCAGCTGCCCATCCATATTCCCGAGCAGGGCAACGGCATGGACGGGAACCCCCAGTCTTCCGGCTCATCCCCCCTCCGCCCGGAACCCGCCTCTGGTTAAACTGTTGATTTAAGATTTCAAATCATGGTGCCCAGGGGCAGAGCAAGAGTGCAGGGGTGAAGACACTCGTCTTGTGCGCGGCTGACCCAGGTCCTATCCCTGGCACGACATACAGGCCCCTGAGCACTGCCAGGAGTGCTCCCCGAATGCGGAGCCGGGAGGAAGTCCAAATTGCTGCTGGATGTGGCCTCAAAGCCAAGAAAAGTAAAATGAAATAAAGGTGCTTATTCAGGGCCGCTGGCCCAGGTCTGACTAAAGCCCTTCCACTTCATCCACTTCATACCCTCTACTTCCCCCCCCCCTTCCGGTTTTTTTGTTTGTTTCTGCTTTTTGAGTCACACCCGGTGATGATCAGGGGTTACTCCTGGCTCTGCACTCAGGAATCATTTCTGGCAGTGATTGGGGGAAACCATATGGGATGTTGGGGATCGAAACCGGGTCGGCCGTGGACAAGGCATGTGACCTTCCCACTGTGCTCTCACCCCTGTCCCCAGGCACTGTTTTTCTTGACACCATTCCGGCACCCTGCCCGGTCGCCCTCCCACACGCCCAGCCGTCCACCTGCCTACCTTTCTCTCCAAGAGACTCTTCCAAACTCCCTCCCGCCGCTGTCAGGATGAAACTGAGTCTACCATGTCTGGGTCTGTTAGGGAAACATTTCACTCAACGCCCTGCATCCTCCTTCCCGCGGGAGCTAAATGAACTCTGTGGGGTGATGGCTTGGGGCTGGCGCTTTCTCTGCACCCCACCTGTCTCATCGCCCATGTGCGCACGTGGAGTAAACCTCACACACATTCCTTTCTCTGCCACGTGGGCTGTTTCTACACCTTGACTCAGAGAGGCAGTTCCTGGGCAGCCAAATACCGGATGACTCTTTGCTTCTGGCCTGATTTCTTCATGAGTGACTAGGGGAAAAAAAAAGCAGTGAGAAGGACTCTAAGAGAAAAATCTTCCTGTCGGTAAGGAGAGGTATTTGCTGCATCTCTCTGGGGGAGAAAAAGGAGGCACCTCGTTGAGTGTTGGCTTTGAGACTTCTGCACAGCCGTTAGTGCTCTCTGGGACAGTTTTGAATCAGGAATTTCATCTGTGAGATGCTGCTGGCGGAACATTCAGATACGCTATTTCTGTAGCTGCAGTTCATTTATTATTTTATTTTTTGCTTTTTTGGGGTCACACCCAGCCTTGCTCAGGGGTTACTCCTGGCTCTGCACTCAGGAATTACTCCTGGTGGTACTTGGGGGACCATATGGGATGCAGTGGACAGAACCCTGGTTGGCCGTGTGCAAAGCAAACGCTCTGCCTGCTGTGCTATCACTCCAGCCCTGAGTTCTTCATTTTTATCTTGGTTAATAAAAATTATTTTTCCTTTGGTGGTGTTGGACCTGGTGCTGGCTTTGGTTTTTCTGGAGGGACAGCGGTGGGGGGACCATACCCAGCTGTGCTCAGGGATCACTCCTGGCGGTGCTTGGGGACCCCTATGGTATGCTGGGGATTTAACTCTGGCTGGCCACATGCACAAGCCAGTGCCTTGCTCACTGCATGATTGCTGCCCCTCTGGTACAGGCCTTTAGTGGACATTGTGTTTGGAATGTTCAGCGGTGTATTGTGTGCGATTTTTTTATATTTATTCTCCTGCCTTTTCCATTTCTCCCCCTGATACATGATGCGGCCGGAGGGAATAGACACCTGAAGCCCAGTGGCTTAAACAATTTGTTTTTCTTGCATAACAAGGGCAGGGCCTGGAGAGAGGTGCAGTGCAGGGATGAAAGTCCTTGCTTTAGGGGCTGGAGTGATAGTATAGTAGATAGGGCGTTTGCGTTGTATGCAGCCGAACCTGGTTACCTTCCCAGCATCCCATAGGGTCCCCTGAGCACTACCAGGAGTAATTCTGGAGGGTGTGACTCAAAAAGCAAAAAACAACCAAAAAAAAGTACTTGCCTTGGGCACAGTGAGTAAGGTGCTTGTCCTGCACGAAGCTGACCTGAGTGTGATTGCCAGAACTGGTTCCCCTGAGCCCTGCCAGGAGTGAGCTCTGAGCACAGCCAGGCTGCTGTGTCCCCTCTCTTAACCCTTCATCCCTATTCTCAGCTCTCAGGCATTTTTTTTTTGGTCATTCCCAGTGATGCTCAGGGCTTCCTCCTGCCTCTGCACTCAGGAATTACTCCTGGTGGTGCTGGGGGTGGGGGGTGGGGGCGGGCACATGGGATGCTGGGAATTGAACCTGGGTCGGCTGCGTGCAAGGCAAATGCCCTACCCGCTCTTCTATCGCTCCAACCCTCAGGGAAGAGTGGGCAAAGCGAAGCCCAAAGAGTCCTGAGGAACCTAATGACTGCCGTGGGTGACATTATGGCCAGGACAGGGCCACTGAAGGGGCTGCCTGGGTAGGGAGAAGCCCTGTCCAGCCAAAGGGGACTGCGAGCGTCTGGGCGTCGGAAGGGTCCCTGGTCTCTCCCACCCCAGCTGAAATGCAGGCCCCTGACTGATGCTCTGGCAGAGTTGCTCACCCCGCACCCAGCTCTTGACTCTGACCCTCACCCTCATTAGAACTTCCTGCCAGGCTTACATGAGGCCCTGGGTTTGATCCTCCGCACTGGGAGGGGAGGAGCCTTCAACCCTGCAGAACCGTAACCCACGTGGGGCCCGTTCATCCACCAAGCCTAACTCCCAGATGAGCGACTCTGCAGGAAGGGTCCAGCCTGGTACCCCTCCCCCACCCCTTCTGCTCCCAGGATCTTGCTGTGTCTTGGTTCCCTTCCTTTGGGTGGGGACCCTGGTTTTTTATTTTGTTTTGGGGTGTTTTGTTGTTGTTGCCACTGTTGTTTTGGGATCACTCCTGGCCATCCTCATGTGACCACATGGGATGCCGGGGATCGAACCGGAACTCTGGTTTTTCTTTCCATGTCTGGAGAGGGTTGATGGGCCATCTCTGCAATAACCTTGAGTTACTGAGGAGAGGTGTTTAAGGTCAGAAGATCAGGGTCAGGGTCAGCCCGCAGCCTGGGGGGGATCAGTGGCGGGGGCTGGCCTTCCTCCGAGGCATTGTAGAAGGGCTCCAGAGCTTGCTTGGCCAACAGTCTGCGTGGGGGCCCCTTTGGTTTAAAAACCCAACTGAATTAAAAAAAAAAAAAAAGCAGGTTCTTTAATGGACCACCCCGGGCGTTCCCTCTCTAGGAATATCAGACTTAATTATTTAAATTTAATTTGTTGGCGACTGGGTGGTTAATTTTTTAAAAACTGGATGATTTATCAGCATTTTTTATAATGAGCAGCGTTTAATATCTGTTAATGAGGGTTCAGACGGATCAGCTATTTAATTTCTTCATAAAATGAGTCAGAAAAAAAGTATTACTGGGAAGTGCACACCGGGAGCTGTTCTCTGCGTGTTCTGCGACCTTGGTTCCTTACCTTGGTTCCTTCCAGGCACCGGAGCAGGAAGTGGGGTGAGGGGGTGGGAAGGGGGGGCTGGTTACAATCTTTCTACTGGCAGGCCTGACTTCCCAGCAATGGGGGGGAGGCGGGGCGGGGAGGTTGGAGCAAGGGGAAGGGGTACAGGGCATTCTTCTGGTCCACAAATGCCACAACTGAGCCTGCCGAACCCCTCCTCTCGTGCATTATATTCTGGAGACACTGGCCGGACTGTGCTGTCCCCACTACATTCTGTGACCCCTCCCCCTCCCCCAGGAAGTCAGTAGAAGGTGTAAACTGGTGAGATGCACTTGAACTAAAACCCAAATAGGAAAGCTTTATAGCTGTATCACGGGGATATATATATATATATATATATATATATACACACACATATATATATATAATAATGTAGCACATTGGCACTGTCCTCCCGTTGTTCATCTGTTTGCTCGAGCGGGTACCAGTAACGTCTCCATCGTAAGACTTGTTACTGTATTTGGCATATCGAATATGCCACGGGGAGCTTGCCAGGCTCTGCCATGCGGGCAGGATACTCTCGGTAGCTTGCCAGGCTCTCCGAGAGGGATGGGGATTCGAACCCGGGTCAGCCATGTGCAAGGCAAATGCCCTACTCGCTGTGCTATTGTTCCAGTTCCAGTTCATATATCCACATATATATGTAATAAAATAAAATTAACATTCTGAATAAAAAAATGTGGAGTCCATGCCCAATTCAGTCAGGTTAATCAATAGCTGAATAAATAGCAGTACTCCTACATTATAAAAAAAATGCACATAGAAATTTAAAAATCCATGGACTTGGAGCCAGAGTGATAGATAGTACAATGAGGTGTTTGCCTTGCACACATCAATCTGGGTTTGATCCCCGGCATCCCATAGGGTCCCCAGAGCACCGCCAGGAGGGATTCCTGAGTGCAGGAGTCACCCCTGAGCATCATCGGGTGTGACCCAAAAAGCCAGAAAAATAAAAATCCATGGGCTGGAGACTGGGCAGGGCACTTGTCTTGTAGGTGGCTGACCTGGGTTTGATCCCCAGCACCCCGTATGGTCCCCCACGAGCCTGTCAGATTTGGTCCCTGAGCACTGCTGGGTGTGGCCCGCAAACCAAAAATATTTAAAAAATCCAGCCCTTCTTGGCTCAAGGAAGCGGCCTCTTCCTCGGCACACTTTGAATGCTTACCAATAACTTTAAAACCAGAAGAGGTGGGCGTTCGGGCAGTAGCAGCTAAGAAAACGCAGTGGCAACAGGGGAAGAGAAGCCCCCCTCTCCCCTCCACCCCCCTCTCTGGGCTGGGCTGAAGCGTCAGTGTGGAGGGCCGGAGTGCAGGCCTCACATGCTGGAAGGCCAGGGTTCAATTCCTGACACCACGTGGTCCCCTGAGCACTGCCGGGAATGGCCCCAAGGGCTGGAGCGAAGAATGGAGCTTAAGGCACTGGCCTGGCATGTGGCTGCAGCTGAGATGCTGTTCGAATCTCAGCACTGTGTAGGGTCCCCTGAGCACTGCTGAGGTGTCAGGGTCCCTGTCCAGAACTGGTTTCTTTCCTTCCTTCCTTCCTTCCTTCCTTCCTTCCTTCCTTCCTCCCTCCCTCCCTCCCTCCCTCCCTCCCTCCTTCCTCCCTCCCTCCCTTCTCTCCCTCCCTCCCTCCCTCTCTCCCTCCCTCCCTCCCTCCCTCCTTCCTTCCTTTTTTCTTCCTTCCTTCCTTCCTTCCTTCCTTCCTTCCTTCCTTCCTTCCTTCCTCCCTCCCTCCTCCCTTCCTTTTTCCCTTCCTTCATCCTTCCTTC